GAAATTAGTTAGAACTAGTAATTAAGAATCTAGAGGCTCTAGTATTAATTATAACTTTATAAAAGTAGTAAGTATTATATCTTAATATACTATTAATTATAAATGTCTGGGTATCTTCTATTTATTTAATAGGCTCTAAAATATGGTTTTTGTCTATTATCTAGTATATAAGAGAAAGAGAAGTAAGGTTATTTATAAGAGTATTAGTTATAGAAATAGCAGGAATAAGAGCTATAAGAGCGGCTAGAAAGCTTTTAATAGAAATAAAATAGGAATTAGAATAATATTTCTTTTCTTTATTCATTTCTGCTAATAAGGCTTTAAAAGTATTACTTATTAGTTTATCCTTACTATTTTCGTTATTTTCTTTTTCTTTAAATTCGGTAACGTACTATATATAAGTATTACTAAAGTATTTATTAAAGTTATAAGTATTTCGGGATCTAAATTAGTAAATATTTCTATTTTTAAATCGAGCCTTTTTAGTTTCTTATTTCTCTAGTATATATTTCTATAAGTAGTATTTGGGTTTCTTATATATAAAACACGACTTTGGAGTATAATTATTATAATTACGGGGCTTAAAGTAGTTATTACGGGTTCTAAAGTTATAACTGGGTCTGTATTAATAATTTCCAAACAAGTAATAATTTAGAGGGTTTTAAGAATAGTATTATTAATTAGTAAAGAGAATCTCGATATTAATCTATTATTTCTTCTTATAAGTAGTAATAGATAATTAGGGCTTATTAATAAGTTAGCCGAGATTAGGAGAAAGATCCAAAACTATATATTAGTATACTAGTATATCTTAATAAGAAGTAATAATCTTATTATATAGGAATTCGGTATTTTATAGGACAGGTACTAGTTTATATTATAATTTATATAAGTTATTAATTAGTAACTAGATAAGCTTAAATATTATCTTTTTAGAATATTAAGCTATTATAATTATTATTATAATAGTATTTTACTTATTTAAGTTTTAATATTAGAAACCAGGGCTTTTAAAAAAGCTATAAATATTTATATAAGCCTCTTTATATATATATTAAGAGAGCTAGTTATTATAAAAGTAATCTTATACTAGTTTCTTTAATAAAGTAAGAAAAGCTTTTACTAATACCTCTTATAAAAACTCTATATATTAGTAAATATTAAGAAAGATAGTAAGTTTTTAGTTAAAACTACTATTAGTTCTATTATATTTCTATGCCTTAGTATATATTTTTATTATTTTTCTAATTAGCTTTATAATAAGCAAGCTAGCTAAAGGGCTATTTAAAAGTAGTAAAGATAGTAAAAATAATAGAAATCTATTACTACTAGCTTTCTATAGTCTGGTACTAGTAGAAGTAATTATAGGTAGTAAAGAAATATAAGTAATAATTAGTTTTATTTATTAATTTCTTATAATACTATTATTAAGGGATATATATAATAAGGTAATAGGGCCCGTATTAAGATCTAGTCTAATAGTAATAATATTAGCTATAGTTTAGGTATATTACTCTTTTTCCTAAATAGTATTAACTAAGGACTATATAATAGCAAGTTCCTTATTATTTTATTTAATATAAATACTACTATATTATAAAGTAGCTTATAATTTTATATAATATATATTAATTTAGATAATTAAGTATTTTGAGATCAAAATTACTAAAATTCTTCTTAAATAACTTCTAGAGATTATTATTAGTTAATTTCTTTATCTTATACTAGAATAGTCTAGTATTAAGGTAATCTAGGACTTTCTTATTATTATAGGTAATTAGGTTAATATTACCTTTTTACTTCTTTACTTATATATATTTATCTTATAGTTCTACTATATTAAACCTCTAGGGCCAAGCCCTTCTTAATATATATATAATTCGTAATAAGAGAGGTTTAAAGATAAGGTAGTTTATAGTAAGTTTATAGAAAGGGTTTAGTAATAAAAATATCCAGATATCTGGTTTAGATACTAGATACCTAGTTTAGATACCTGATTAAGATACTAGATATCTAGTTTAGATACCAGATATCAGATATCTAATTAAGATACCAGATGCCCCAGATATCTAGGGGTTTTATAAGTATTAAAGTAAATATTTTACTTTTAAATATTTCATTTATAATAAGAAATTTAGGAAGTGAAATATTATAATTCCGGGAGGGTCTAAAGCTCAAAGAACTCGATTTAATAGTAAAATCGAAGTAGTAATTAAAGAGCTTTAAGGGCATATATTCCGGAAAAAGTATCTTATAGATACAAGTATTATATAAGTAGAAAAGATGGGTTTTAAGAAAGTAGTCTTAGGGCTAAAGGAAGTTAGTTTTAAAGAATAGTAGATAATTAAATAAATAGATAATTAAATAGCTAATTACTTATTAATTAGTAAGAACTAGAGTCTTTTTTCTTAGGCTACCGGATGCTTTATAGAATTAACGAGTAATTCCCGCCTTTAATAAAATAGTTATTAGTCCTTAATAAGAGCTAGCTATTTTCTTTCTTAGGCTATTAGATACTTTATAAAGTTAATAGGTAATTCCCTCCTTTAATATAAACTAGTTTAATTTTACTATAGGCTATTAGATGCTTCTTTAGCTTAAAAGATTCTATTCTCTAATCTATATATATAAACTAATTAGTATTAGTTTATTAGTAATATATAGTACTATTATATAAGTCGTGAAATACTATTTATATATAATTAGTAAAGTTATTATTCAGAAATAGGAATTATAGTATTATAGTATTAATATATAATCCCTAAATCTGCTAAGCCTAGAGGAATCTAGTCTATTAGTCAAGTTACTAATAGAATACGAGATTATATAACTATATCCCGTATCCCATATTTCATTACCCGTATTCTATTACTCATATCTCGTATTTCATGTCTCATAACTATATATATAACTCTTAAAGAAATAGCTATACTAATAATAATAATTTAATTAAAGAAGTTATTTCTAATATTATAGGCTAGGCCTTTATATAAAGAAAACTAGTAGTTTTAATATAAAAAGAAATAACTAAAAAGAAAAAGAAAAAGATTTACTCTTATATAAACTAAATATATACGGGCTATATATTATATATTTTTATAACTATAATAATAAAAGTTATATAACTAAATTATATAACCGAATTCAAATCACGGATTTAATCTATTATAAAAACAATATATAAATTAATAATATAACTTTATTTTTATATATTAAAATCTATTTCTAATTAAGATCTAACTTATATTATTTTAATATAATATTTCTTATTTAATTTTCTTTATTTCTTTTTCTTTTATAATTAGCCTCTATTTTTATTACTCTTATATATTATATTAGTAATTATATCTTATAACTAACCTGTATTCAAGTTATTAGATATATCAGAAATTAATATAAGATACTAAAATTAATACTTATATATCTTTAATATTTTAATCTTAGGCTTAAGGTATTATAATAGTTTTTTTTTCTCTAAACTTACTAAACTAATAATTTGCCTTATAGAAACCCCTAAGAACTTTATAAGAGTATTATTTTAACTATAAAGTTTTAATCTTTCTTATATTACTTATTATAAAATATATAAGAGAGAAACTATAATAAGACAAAAACTCATATAAAGTATACTAGAGTATAAAACGTGACTTAATAATAAAATAATAAGAATAAAGATATAAATAGTAAAGTATAAATAGTATATAGTATATAAAAGCTTAATTAATTAAATATAAAGAATGGATTATTGTCTAGAACTATAGAAAAGCCAGCTTTCTTATGTGATTCCCGCAAGTCACGTGCAAAAGGCCCCAGCCTTTGTCATGTGACCAAAACCTCAAAACTGTCAAAATAAAGCGATTTTAATAAAGTACGGCTTACCGTACCACAATAGATAGATAAAAAGTAAGGAAGGGAGCTATAGTGGGGGAAATAGCGGTGGATTTGCCTACCCCTGTCATTTTCGCACTACCCCTGCCATTTTGGAACAATTAGAACGTTCTATTACCGATATTACCTAATACCTGTCAATACCGGCCGGAACGTTCTGTGGAACATCGCCAAGCCTGATGAGCGCGACTACTGGCGTTTCATTTCTTTCTATGGATGACATGTTCGGGGGCGACCGTCTCTCATGCCTCTACGGAAGGATGAACGTCAGTTTTCTAGCAATTACACGCGCAGCTTATTAAGAAAACAACATGGTCTCACTCCCTCAGGTTCTGTTGGAGACGCGAGGCTCAGGTGCGACGGACAGCCGAGATCGCATCTGCGCACTAGAGGCCCTCGACCCTTTGTACCAAGTACCGGAGTTGAAGCCAGACTATACCATCAGCCCACGGCAACTGTACACCAAGGTTGCGAGGCACATCCTGTCAAGTGGGTCTTTCTCTCTCTTCGGCCTGGCCGGACTCGCTCATGCGCCCTCAACGGAGCTCCCTTCTTGGGTTCCTGATTTTACAACTTTACTGAAAATGTCTACCATGCATGACATTCAGTGCAAATACTCTGTTGCTAGTGATACGAATATGGTGCTTGACACTAAACAGGAACAGGACGATACTATTACACCGAAATGTTTTATCCTGGACCGTATCTCTAAAATAGATCGGAACAATTACTGGTCCGCCATTCTGTCCTCACCTGAAGACATCAGAGAAGAAACAATTCAGAGAATTATGTCTGACAAGGAAGGGACTGATCTTAAACCGGGTCTGCGCAGGTGGCTTCAAGCAGTCATTCAGATGGTCGAGAACAGATTTCCCAACCTCCTGATTCAGGGCTACCACTGGACCGACGAGCCACTTTTGGAAGCCATATTGCGGACTATGATTGGAAATGAGGATCAGGCCTCGTTTCCTGCCTCAGGAGAGACAATTGAGTTCTTAACAAAATATGGATGTTCGCTCGATCCCGGTCTCGCATCGATGGAAGGTGGCATAAGCGGTGATTTGAGAGCTGAAGACAATATGAGTGCCATTAATGCTGGCAATCTCTGGGTGCGAAAGGCAGCAGGAAGACAATTTGCTATCACTCAATCAGGGTACATGGCCTTGGTGCCCGACTTTGCCAAGGTTAGTGACACCATCTGCGTCTTTCTGGGTGCAAAAGTTCCCTACGTCATCCGCGAGTCGAGCGAAGGGAAAAGTTGGCAACTTGTTGGAGAGACACACGTGCATGGTGTTATGGATGGAGTGAGCATGCTGGGCCGAATGAAGGATGCAAGTAAAACTGAGTGGGTCACACTCTGCTGATGAAGAAAGCACGTAACAGCTTTAGCAGAATTCCACATTCGATCAGGGGAAGCAAAATAGGGATCTTCGTCCAAAGAAAAACACCTAAGTCAGATTTAAGTAGGGACTGCTCAAGTTGCTCGGGTAAGAGCCAAGGGTAGTGAGCCGCAGGTAATTAGTGCGTGAGTTGAAGCTCCCAGGCTGTGAGTTTAACGACCCCTTTAATAATCACCCAAGAAGGTGGTCCTTGTTGCAGTATGAAAGTAGATCGAGCTATTAAATGCAGTGTATCAAATGAATAGAGTAGAATAGAATAACGGCCGTTACTCTTATTCTATTCAAGTTAAAAACCCGTTACTCTTATTTTATTCATATATTATTCGAGTTATTCATAAATAACTTGAATAACGCAGGTGATTTGTACACGTGATTGAGCTAGCCTAATCGGGTAAGGCTTCGGGGTGGCCCGCACCTAGCGTCACCTTATCGCTACCTCGCTACCCAATCAGGTGGTAGTGGCGCTTGGTAAGCGAATCGAACCTCAGCGATACTTCCAGAACTACCGTAAATTACGATTATATTAAATTACTAATATAAGAGATAGAGATTAGAAATCGAAGGACTAGAATCTCCGAGATAAGGCAAATCTTTATAATTAGAAGAATTATAAAACAGACTTTAGAATATTAGAACTTTCTATAAGAATACCCCGTTTTCCTCGATTTCACTTCTCTCTTATAGTTTAACTTCTTATAAAAAATTAACTATTACTCTTACTATATTACTTTATATTACATATATCCTTACATATACTTTATATACTCGAAAATGTCTCAAGACTCTTTAATTAAGCTTAATATAAGTCAAAATCACCCCGATTTCGAATTAAGGCCCCTTAATAAGCAAACTTCTCTTTTTAAAAAAGGCTACTTAAAAAGAACAATAAATCCTATATAAGAGAATATCGAGAATCTCTATACGTGTACTATCAAGTATATGGTTAAAGGGCATTTATAAGTTAATATATTAATTTTTAATTAATTTAATAGTAAAACATGATTTAATTAATAAATATATAGTTATATAAGTAATTATTACTCTTATTTTCGATATATATATAAGTTTATAGACCTTAAGAGTCTTAAAGATAGTAATAATAATAGTAAGTTATTTTATTATTAATAAAAAAGACATATTTACTAATATATTTAATAGATAAGAATAAAGCTTTTAGTTAAATCTTATAAACGACTATAAATAGCCATTTTAATAAGTAATCTAAATAATAAGAAGAAAGCTATACTATTAATTACTTTGAGAAATTATTATTAAACTTTATTATTAATAATAATATTTCTTTTCGGGCTATTATTCTTTTAAGTTTTTTAAAAAACTAATATCTTATTTAAATTAGTAAGCTTTTATTATATTACCCTTTATTTATATATATATTAATATTTAATAGTCAAGTACCTGCTATATACTCAAAGGCTCTTATAGATAAGCTTAATTTATATTATATTAAGAAGAGTTTAAATATTAAAGAAGAATTAAAAGAGAATATTAATTCTTAAGGAACTTTCTCTATTACTTTAGATATTTATACCTTTATAAATTAAAAGGCTTTCTCTGGAATTACTATATAAGTTTATATATTCTTATAATTATTAAATAAAACTTATACTAATATATTTTTAGATATTTTATAAATAAGGATTTTAAATTAAAATCTTATTTATTAGTTATAAGAAACTTAAATAATATATACTCTGGTATTTATATGCTTTCTGTTTTATTAGAAGCTTTAAAATAATATAATATCGAATATAATATTACTAGATAAGTAATTTAATTTAATTTAATTTTTATTATATAATTACTAATATATTTGATTTAGTATTACTCGAGATAATACTAGCTCAAATAATATCTTATTAAAGGCTTTTATAAAGTATTATAATAAGGAAGGCATTAAATTCCAAGGAAATATTTCTTATATAGCTTATATATTAAATTTAGTAATTCAAGATATTTTAAAAGCTCTTATTAAAAACAATTATAATATTTCTTATTCTATGGATTTATATAAGCAAGAAATAAGAGAACTTAAAGATAGAGAAAAAGATAAAGAAGAAGAACAAGTAATAAATAAGTTTCTTATATAATTTATAAGACATTTATTAATTTAGAGAAAGATTAGAAAAACTATTATAGGTCTTAAATATAACTAAGAAAACCGTTGGCTATTAGAAGCTCAAATTAAAGCTTTTAATATAGAAAATACTCGATTCTCTTAATTTAGTAAGTAATTAATTTTCTAATTATTTAATTATTAATTAATATAATAGTCTTTGACTTATTATATATTAAAGAACTTTTTATATAAAGCTATTAAAATAGTTATTAATAGCTCTAATTTAAAGGCTTTTAAAAATAAAAGTCTAGTTTTAACTAATATTAAAATTACTTATTTAAATAATAGTTTAAATATAATTTCAATATTTATTAAAGCTATAACTAAATTATAAGCTAAAAATTACTTTACTATATATTATATTATACCTAAGATATATAAAATATATAATAAACTTAAAATTTTTAAAAAGAAATTTAAAATAAGTCTTTTCTTAAATTATTCTTATATTATTAATAATATTATACTAATTTTTAATAAGATAAAGCATTTGCAGATATTATTAATAATAATATAACTAAGCTTTGAAAATATTATTTTAAAATAGGTATTTTAGATAATAAAAATAAAGCTTTATATTTGGCTCTTATTCTTAATCCTCGAATTAAATAAGAAGAATTAACTAGTATTAGCTTATCTAGTAATATATCTTTAGATATATATAATAGATTAAAGACTAATTATAATATATAAGTAATTTCTTTTATTAGTTTTTAATAAATTAATAACTAATTTTTAAATTTAGTATAATAAATATATATAATAATATATAAACAGGTATTAGATATTAAGGATCTAGTTTCCTATTTTAAATAAAGCTTATAATTAGAATTATATAAGTAATTGAAATTATATAAATTATATAAGATTATATTTTCTAGTTAAATAAAGTACTTTATAGGCTTAGCTAAATACTAAGAAATATATAAGGAAATACTTCTAGCTTTAAAAAGAGGTATTAATTAGTTTTTTATTAGAATTAATTCTTGGAATTAGTTATACTTATAAGTATTACTTTATAGCTTACTTACCTTAATTATTTATATATTACTCTATTATTATATATCTTATATTCTAATTAATCTAATCTTTAGGAAATAGTTTATTATAAAATAGTTAAGCTATTAATAGATAAGAATATTAATAGCTAGAGTATTAACTAGAAAAAGTGCCTCTATAATTACTAGAATAACCTAACCGGATATCTAGAAAAGTGCCTAATTAAATATTCTTTATATTACCTAATTAAGAAAAGGAAATAGAACTCAGATATTTCTAGAACTAGTAAGTAAAATAATAATAATAGAGAAATTAGTAGCTACTTACTATTATATTACTAAATTAGAAATAAAGATATAATAGAAAGAAAAGCTAGAAAAGCTAAAAGCTTAGATCTATTATTTTAAAAATATTTAGATATCTAATATAGAACTTATTATATTTCCGGTAATATTCTTGGTTTAGATAGCTTTAAAAACCCGAGAATTACTTACTTATTAGAGAAAAAGTATTAAAGAAGTCTAGGACTTCTTTTATTAGGTAAAGTTAAAGTAATATAAAAATAGTAGAATTATCTAGGCTACTAATATAGTAAAAATTATATATTATATTTCTTATTTTAAAAATATAGCCAGAAATATCTAGAAATATAAAAAGTAATTAGTAAGTATTAATATTATAAATTAAGAGATTTTTATTAAATTTATAAAGAATTTTATTTTGGATCTAAAGAACTATAATAATAATATTCTTACTAAGTTTAAAAATACTAAATAATAGCTAGGCTAAAGTATTTAAAGCTTTAGATCTTACTTAAATAGCCTATTAAATAATTTAGGATATACGGATTTATTATAAAAGTAAAATAACTTATTTAATAGCTTAAGATAAGAGATCCGAGATAAGATTAATTATTAAGGAAATACTTTATAAAAGAAAAAGAAGCTTATTTCTATTATTATAAAAGTTAAGAATAATTTAAATTTATTTATTTAATAGAAATATAATAATAAGCTAATAGAATAATAAAAGAAAAAAAATAAGAGAAAAGAAAAAAGAAATAATAAAAATAAATAAAAGAGAAATATATTTCTATTATAAGATTTATAAAACTAGAGTAATAAAGATATAGTAATAGGATCTAATATAGTACTTATATTAGAATTTATAAAACTAGATATAATTTGCTTTATTTACTAGAAAAAGAATTATTATATTATTACTTGCCTTAATTAAGAAAAACCGACTTATTATAATTATAATAAGTCTAGTTATAAATTATATAAGTACTTAGAACTAAAGAAGCCAGGAAATAAATATATCTTATAATAGTTATACTTATTTATATTATAGAAAGCAAGGCCCCTAAAATAAGAATAATAATTAAAGTTATTATTAAGATAAGAAAAAATAAGTAAAGAGTTAAAGTATTAGTAAACTCGGATATAGAGGCTAATTATATATAGAAAAATTAGCTTTAAATATAAGTATTTTATTAATATTAAAATAACTCTTTTATTTTTACTAAAGAAAAAAAGAATCTATTTATATAAAGATTATATTCTTGAAATTATTATTAAAAATATATTAGGGAACTAAAGAAATACTAATATATATTTTATATTATATAATTTTAATTTTAATTATATTAATATAATATTTGGATTCTTATAGCTTTACTAGATTAATTCTCTAATTTTCTTTAGAAAAGTAATATAAAAATACCAGATTTAATTATAGAAGTATAAGATATATAATAATAAAGTAA